AGCATATACATGGCAACCGAGAGGTTAGTGATTGTTGGTGTGCTGTTGAGGTCTGTTGCTAGTTGCGGCAATGCAGCTATAATAAATAGCTTTCAGTACGATATCAATGATGGAGAGGGGAGGTGGGGATGGGGCTTACGGAGGAGAATCGCACTCCCCATCGGTGCTGCGGCAGCTGCTAACGCTACTTGCAGCGTGATGAGCCATTTCGTGCTTCTTTTATAATCATAAGGTCGTTCCACTTCTGGAATAATAGTAAATCTCGCGAGCAAGCCTCTCCTCTTAAAGCGGGGTATTATCGACAATGGTCGAGAGTGAACTGATGAGGATTTTGATTTCGGCCGTTGAGGGGGGCAAATCTCTTTTGGAACGGCTTCTATGGTTCCTAGTGAGGAGTGCGAGTGGATTGAGTCTTCATCTGTCTCTTCTCTTTTTGATGATCCGTTTTCTTTGGTTGTTGAGATGCCGGGGTGAGAGACTGGCCCGTCGAGGCCTTGAGGTACATGACTTGCGGCCTTGAGTTCTGCTTTTTCGGGATCAAGAACCATCCTCTCTTGTCTGTGGAAGTTGCGATATCGGGGAGAGTGGGATGAGGAGGCAAAGTGGGGTGATATTCCGATGAAGTCTTCGTGAAATAGAGAGAAGGCAAAGAGTAATCGCTTTACGCAAGAAACAGCAACTTTGAAGCAGGAAGTAACAAGACCATAGAAGAATGCACTTGCGTAAGATAGATATAAAAGGCGGGATCCTCATGCCCCACTGCTTAAGTAGACTCTTAGAACAAGCAACACGCTGAAGAAACCCCAACCTCGAAAACCCCCGCATTCGATTGAGCGTTTGTCACCGCCTGTTGGAGGGGTGGGACTTCTGCCCATTAAGGACACTGACGCCCGATGTGGCGTGGAGCCCATCTTCACCTTGAAGCGGGAATAAAGCTCGAAGAAGTCGCATTGAGTCTGGCCGGCAACTCGGCATGTAGGCCAGGGTTTAGCCCGAGGTGGCGGCAGGACTGCGCTGACGGGCAAAGAGACGTGTGATTGGTAGGGCGGAAGCACCCGCTGGTGTTTGCTTGGCGAGCAAACCGAGAAATAAATTCGAGACTCGAGGTGAGTTGTGAAGCTGGCTGGATTATTCTTGAAAAGCATCGCCGATTCATGAAAGTAATTACAATCGAAACCATTGTGGGATAATCCATTCGATACAATTTAGCTCCTCGCAGGCGGCGAAGAATTCGGGCTTCCAACTTAGACCTTCAGAGACAAGATAAGTCGCGCACAACTCCAACCAACCTCACAACAATGTCAGCAATGGAGACTCTCGAGGAGATGCAAGCTCGCCACCGGAAAGAGCAGAAAGACCTACAAGCACGGATTATGCAGAAGAAGAAAGGTGCAACGAAAAAGACACGGAAAGGCGTGAATACCGAATGCGAAGAGCTCGAACGTCAGCTCAAGGAAAGACAAGAACAGGAAAGAGCCGCTCTCAACGGAGAAGCGGTATCAGAAGCTGACGACATCCCCGACCTCGACGAATCAATAGAAGAGCCTGCAGCTCCTCAATCGAACGGCGTGAACGGTCTAGTAGAAAGCGTCGAGAGAACCACATTCTCAGATGACGGCCAACCTCGAAAACGCAACCGGGCTAAAGAACGCCTGGCACGACGAGCTGCAGAAAAAGATGCCGCAGTAGAAGAAGCGAAGAAAGAAGCTGCGAATCAACCAGATAAGAAGACTGTGGAGAGGACAAAGATGCTGGCGCAATTTAAGGAGAAAGGACTTGTGGAGAAGGGCATTCGTCCTGATGGGCATTGCCTGTTCTCTGCTGTTGCGGATCAATTATCACAAGTTGGGATTCTGCTAAGTGCGGGGTCCGATGCGGAGTTGAAGGAGGATCAGAGGTATAAGCTTGTGAGGAAGGCCGCTGCCAGGTATATTGAGGGACATCCTGATGATTTTGTGGCTTGGCTGGATGAGCCTTTGGATCAGTATGTGGAAAAAATTAGGGATACGGCGGAGTGGGGTGGGCATCTCGAATTACTGGCTTTGGCAAAGACGTATAATGTGGAGATACACGTGCTGCAGGATGGGGTTGCTCAGACTATTGAGCCTGATTCGAATGGACCCGAGGCACCAGAGAAGATATGGCTGGCATACTATCGGCATAATTTTGGGTTGGGAGAACATTACAACTCACTTCGGAGGGCACCTTGAAGCACAGATTATTGGAAAACCACAAAGGACCAGACTCTTTTTTTTACTTGGCCCATACACTGACCCAGTCAGTCACCTTGCCCTCTGCATTATAGCCGATCTGATGCGTCCTCTTGGGCTGGAAATGCTCTATCCTTCGCAGACCAGTCTTACTTGGCTCTCCGAGCTTCGATTCCTCGAGCTCTCCGTCTTCAGCATACGGCAACTCATCACCCGGTCGGGACAAATGAGCCAGATATATCTTCGGAGGCAGAGCCCAAGGTGGACCCCCAGTGGAAGCCGGTTTATACGTCGGGAACTCCACACAAACAACTCTCCCTCCGGGAGCAAGTAGTTCCACAAATCGCTTCGACCACGCAGGTCTCATGACCGGTGGCAGGGCAGACAAGAACTAGTCATCTCAGCACTAGACCTTGTCCTATGTGGAAACAAACTCACCGTATAATCATAAATCAAGTCAAAAGCCCCCCCACCCTCCACATCCTTCAAAAAGCCATCTGCAAAAAAGTCCCCAGCCAACCACGTAACCCTCCCCTTCTCCACCCCCTCCCTCATCTCATAGTCACCCTTCCCATCCATCTCCTTTTCATTCCTCCTCGCTGCCTCCAGAGCATTACTCGAGATCTCAAGTCCATACGCATCATACCCAAACGCACTCAACAAAAGCACATCATACCCTTTCCCACATCCCGGAACCAACGCTTTTCTTCTCCCAGACTTTGGGGGAGGAGTGAAGAGATCTTGGCATTCAGTGAGGAGGTCAACAAGTGCTGGGTTCGGGAAGCCTTTGTCCCAGGGCAGGAATCCTTCTTTCCAGAGGTCGTCCCATTTTTGGCCGTGTTCGGTAGTGCCTTTTGCGGACTGGAAGTGGGAGAGGAGGCGTGCTCGGGCGTCGGTGGGTTGATCAAGCGGGCTTAACAGCTTTGACGGATGGTTTCCGTCGGTGGGCTGTGGTGTCTGTTCTGACAGCCTTGGAAGATGGTGTCCTGGGGGAAATAGTGGATCCATGATATATTGTTTCGAGTTGTTTCAATACGGAAGAAGCAAAGGAATTAGGTTGTTACGAAACCTAGGAGAGGAGACTGAGGGGGTGAGAAGTGACAGGATTAGGCCTTGAAGTTTGAGGCAATGAGAAAAGAATCGTTTGGGCTACAAACTCGTTCTTTCCTTTACTAAAGAGTTCTCTTGTTTGAGAAAGCTTTCAGCCGAACTTTTGTTGTCGACTTCATGATCTCGAAAGCAAACGCGTCAAACACCCCTGCTATCGCCGTGCCTCGGCTCGATAGCAAGCTATGAACTACCCCGGATGTCAAGCATGAACCTCGAACATTAAAGTTCACTCTTCCCCTGTTCAAAATTTCTAGACTGCACATTCACCATGGATTCTTCAAGCTTATTTAACGTCAAGGTAAGAATTCAATTGACAATATCCATTCCATTCGGTGTCACTGACAAACCTCTAGGGCAAAGTCGTCCTCGTAACAGGGGGAGCAAAAGGCATTGGCCGCATGATCTCAGAAGGCTTCGTGCAAAACGGAGCAAAAGTCTACATCTCCTCCCGAGACACCAAAGCCTGCGAGCAAGCCTGCAAAGAAATGAACGCCTTGGGTACCTCCCCTTCTCTCTCCCCCTCTCTCCCCTCACTTCTCCTACCCAACCCCTCTTCCAACATCTCTAACAATCCATAGGGAAAGGATCTGCCCACGCCATCCCCGCCGACTTCTACAAACTCGAAGACTGCAAACGTCTCGCCGAAGAACTCAAAAAGAGAGAGCCGAAGCTTCACGTCCTAGTCAACAACTCCGGCTCCAACTGGGGCGCGCCTTTCGACGAGTTTCCCGACTCCGCATGGACGCGAGTCCTGACTCTCAACCTAACCCGCGTCTTCACCATCACCCAAGCCGTTACGCCTCTCCTCGAAGCCGCCGCCACCAAAGACGACCCCGCACGTATCATAAACATCGGGTCCGTCGATGGCCTGCGTGTTCCGAGTCTGGAGACATTTTCTTATAGTGCGTCGAAGGCGGGATTACATCAGTTGAGCAGAGTGCTTGCGAACCATTTGGGCAAGAGAAACATAACAAGTAACGCGCTGGCGTGTGGGCCGTTTGAGAGTAAGATGATGGCTGCTACGTTGAAGACTTTTGGGGAGACAATTGTTGCGGGTATTCCGTTAGGGAGGATTGGGAGTCCGGAGGATGTGGCTGGAGCTTGCTTGTTTCTGAGTAGTAGGGCCGGGGCGTTTGTCAATGGGGCTACTATTGCGTTGGATGGGGGCAGTTTGGTGGGGTCGAAGTTGTAGGTTTGGAAAAGGGGGAAAGGCTCGGTTGGGCTAGGAGGTCGATTGTATATGAAATGAGAAAGTACAAGGAATGAAATCGGCATAATAAAGATCGATTATAAAGAAAGACCTTGGAGGAAGCGTTGTCCTTTCTTTCCCTTCTCCAAGAATTGTTTCAAACATGTGGGTGGTGTTCATAGCATTTGCCCTCTATATCTGAAGTGAGATACATCACTTGGCATTCGCTCAAACAAATATCATTGTACCAAAGTACTTTCAAACAACACTGCCTATCCGCAACAAAATATTTCCAAATTGATATTCACAACACACCTCCGTTGCATTATTTCTACACTGCGCTGGAATTACATAGGTAAGTCAAAAAGAAGGGAACTTCGCCAAAATTGGCCTCTCCCCTCGTTCTCTTAAAACACCACTCTCCTCGATAATCCTTATTCTCCTCCCCCCCGCAGGCACACAGAAAAATAGTAAGAGGGGCAATCTTTTGTTGGAGTTGGCTGGACTCGAACCAGCCATCTCACTGAGCAAGCAAATGCCTCCAACCACGAGTACCGAGTCCTCGAAAGGTAGAACCAGTATACAGGTTGTTAGCATCTCCTGTTCAGTACGCTTTACCATTAAGCTACAACCCCTCAATTTTGTTTTGTAGAAAGTCTTCGACCAGTTATATAAATTTCAACCAACTTCTACGGGATCTCGCTTAAGCTTAAGTCAATAAATAATGGTAGAGGGGAGTAGACTTATCGAATCAGGACAATGATATATATTTCTTACAGGGAGATTGAGAGTTTGTTATAAAGTCACAGAGATGAGATGCATTGCTCGCTGACTAAAACATGAGTATTATATGCTAATGAACTCACTCCCAAGGCAATGAGAAAGTCCCCACCCACTCCTCAACCTCAGCCCTCAACTGCACAATCTCCCGCTCATTCTCCCCCTCCCCAAGATACTCCAAGAAAGCTTTCACACTTCCAGAATTCTTCCTTCCCTTCGCCTCAGCCGCTTCCTTTGCCGTCTTATCCAGTCTCTGAGTAATCGTGACTGCTCTGTTCACCACATCTGCCACTCTCACGAAATCCTCTGGCTGGAAACCTCTCGTGGTCATTGCTGGCGTCCCCATTCTCAATCCACCTGGTTTCAATGCTGACTTGTCGCCTGGTACGGTATTCTTGTTACTAGCAACACCGACCAACTCCAACACTCTCTCCACTCGCGCACCATCAACACCTTGTGGCTTGAGATCAACAAGCACGAGATGGTTGTCAGTGCCACCTGACACAATTGTGTAGCCAAGACCACCTTTCTCCTTGGGGTCACCCAGCCGCTTGGCAAAGGCCTTAGCATTCAGAAGAACTGCTTCCTGATAAGCTCTAAACTCATTGCTTTGTGCTTGCTTAAGAGCAACCGCCAGAGCAGTGATAGTATGATTATGAGGTCCTCCTTGATGCCCAGGGAAGACGGAAGCATTGATAGGATCTTCCAAGTTCCACATCTCTTCTTCCTTAGTCTTGGCGTTGACTCTTCGTACTCCTTTTCTATAGAAGATCATAGCTCCTCTTGGGCCTCTCAGTGACTTGTGCGTAGTTGTAGTAACTACATCGGCATACTCGAAAGGACCTGGGATAACTTTCGCTGCGACGAGACCAGAAATATGTGCCATATCCGCCAAAAGATATGCTCCAACCTTGTCGGCGATTTCTCGGAAACGTTCATACTCAATAAGTCTGCTATAGGCGGAAGTACCGGCGATAATGAGTTTCGGTCGGTAGAGCATGGCAAGTTCTTCGAGCTTAGAGTAATCGATAAGGCCTGTAGATTCGTCGAGTCGGTAAGGGAGAGTTTCGAAGTATTTTGAAATGGCTGAGATCTTCTTTGTAGGTGTTTGATATCCGTGAGAAAGATGTCCACCATGAGGTAAATCCAAGCCCATTATTCGGTCATGCACGTTCAGGAGAGCGGAGTATGCGTAGAGGTTTGCAGGAGATCCAGATAGAGCTATGAGAGTCAGTCATTGCCTGCCAGGGAGTCCGCTGGGCATACGCTGAACATTTACACCCCAATCTGATTCCTTTAAACCAAAGGTTTGTAATGCGCGGGTTTGACATAACCGTTCTGCTTCGTCAATGAATTCGTTACCGCCATAATATCGTGCTCCTGGGTATCCCTCAGAGTATTTGTCTACGAGCAGTGAGTTATGACGCCACAAACGTGGTTGTCGAACCCACTTTGCATAACACTTCCCAAAGCATCTAGAACTGCCTGGGACGTAAAGTTTTCGGAGGGAATGAGGTTGATGAAATGCTTCTGTCTCCGTTTCTCCTGCAGTTCCAATTAGTACTCTAGACTTCGGTCCAATTTTCAGGGCACGTTACATTCTGGAGAATCTTGTAGATAGCGGGGTCGGCATGTTCGAGGTCCGCAGAGAGGAGCTGTGTTTACAGATAGAATTAGTATTTGATCTTTTAATACAAAAGCAGGTTCATACCTTCTGCTGAGACTCTGCCGTCATGGACGATGCAGCTCGCCTCGAACCACACACTGGTTGAGCTCTGCAAGCAGCAGCCCTCACAAAAGACCGAGAAGCTCCCTTGAAGAGAGACATGATGATCTATGCCCGCCAATCAATAAATATCCAAAGCAGAATCGATCAATGGCACTCACCTCCTCGTCCAAATATCCTCTCGCCTCATGCGAAAGCGGAAATCAAGAGGCCGTTACATCGATTCCCCCCGCCCCGCCACAATCCCAGCCCCAGTCCCAGCCCCCAGTCCACTAGCGCGCCTTCGCGTGCCTGCCGTATATCAGAGCTCGTTCATCCGCACTCTCCTTCTTTCCTCTCTACACAACTAATGCGGAAGGGATGATTGCCTCTACGACAGGTACAGCTCTGGCCTTCGGGCGGGCGATGTTGTTATGTCTCGGGCTCACATCACCACTCAATTGAGGGACAATGTGAATATATCTGATCCGTTTATCTGGTTGATTTTAACATCTTCTGAATATCGTTTCTAGACTGCACCGTTCTTCGATCTTTGGGCTCCGTCATCCATTGAATCCCCCTGAAAACTACCCTGATCCCCTCCCTTTTTGTCAAAGCATTGCACATATGTATCGGGAAAGCTGGTCCGTCATTCTGGTGTATTTGGATGTCATTTTCATGCTGTGTCGCGGACATAGCTCCGCCCTTTTAAGGCAGCCTTGCCTGCTGCTCGGATGCCGGTCATCTAAATGTCGCCATCTTCTTAGATCGGTCTGTTTAAATTAACGAGCGATTTCAACAAGTCCTTTACCTATACATCGGGCTGCCGGCCTTTCCGCAAATTCATTTGTTGATATCTCAGTTTGCCTTTCAAGCAACTAATTTGTTGAAAATCAACTATTTACGGTGTTGAAGCAGGCATGGCACTATCGTAATTCCTTCTAGCTCTATTTGCGATTTCCTGCAAAGTGTTCATCCTTACGGCAACGAGGACCTCCATAGAATTGCTCTGACACTGTGATCCACTATCCCCAGATGTCGTCTGCACCCCCACCTATGCCGGTCTCGTAGGACGCCTTGGGTAGAACGCGTCCAGGTTCACACATTTCACGCAGATAGCACAAATAAAACTCAATTTAGAGATCATGATACCATTGCCCCGTGCAGTAATGCAGAAAGACTAGTAAAAGCAACCGGCCTGTATTTTAGACCCTGCCAGATACACTCCATATGCAACATAACAAAAGGTCCTCATCTACTTAGTCTCGGTCTCCTCTTCGTCACCGAACTGCGCCTTTTGCTTGGCAATCACTCTCTCTTGCTTTCTCTCACGGGCAGCCTTGGTCTTCGCACGCTTGGCATCCATCTCCTCCTTCAGGACTCTCTCACGCGCCTTCTCAGCCTTGGCCTTGTGGATCTATCGAAATCGTCAGCCCGTGGTACTGACTACCCTGATCAGATCAACTTACGTGCTCAACCAAAGCTCTCTTGTGCTTGAAGGTATTACCCTTGCTCAGGTGGTAGAGCTCGTGGTACAGGTGCTTGTCGATCTTGCCGCTGGCACGATACTTGACGAGGAGACGGCGGAGAACACGGAGACGGCGCATCCAGATGACTTGGCTTTACATTCATCAGAACATGTCAAAATCTCCCCCACTGTGAAATAGCATACCTAGGCATACGAGCATCCGCAGTACCCTTTCTCTTACCGAAACCACGGTGTCTACCAATTCTTCGTGCAGCTGTGAGTTCCCGGGCGCGAGATCGAGAGTGCATGGTGACGGGCTTTCGGATGATGAGGCCATCTGCAACGAGCTTTCGGATCGTTTGGCGGGAGTTGGCGTTGGAGATCTCGCTGGTCTCATTAGGATCAAGCCAGATCTTGCGCTTTCCACAGCCGACGACAGACGCCGCGAGGCGCTTCTGGGTGGTGAGGTTGACCCTATCGTGAGAATTGCCCGTCAGCTTCTGTTGATCAAAGATCTATGACGCATCTCCTGGGTGCGAAGAGCAACGTGCGGAGACCGTTCAAAGTCGTGGCAATCGTCGAATGGTCTCAAGGAGAATGAGGGGCTTACATCTTGTCGAGATTTGATGTCGTCGATGATGATGATCGGGTTGTCGTTGTTATGAGAAATTCCTTGGTGTATCACGATTTGACGAGTCGTCGCTAGCGTCGCTTATGTAATTATCGAAAATTGAATTGTGCGGGCCAAACCCTAGAAGGAAACGTCTTTCAGAGCCTACAAAACAGTGAGAACACAAGACAATCGTCCTCTTCCTGAATGACAGTTGATTCCCAGAAGTGTAATGCACGCGGCAATAGAAACAGCCAATTTCAAAATAGAATTTAAGTGGAATTTCGAAAAGTGAGGCCGGGTTTTTTTTTTCATGACTCGCTTATTCTTCCTCGTAACAGGAAGCTCTGGCTTGCGCTCGACAGTAAGAAAACGCGGCACTTGTTCATGTCCTGAGGCAAGTTGGACAATCCAAATTGCTTCCCCTCGAAATGTTGTCTCTGTTATCGTATAACCATAGTACAATTTCCACCAGAATAACTCGGAAGCTCTTGAAGAAAAAAAGTCCTCACATGCAATCCTAAAACAACAAGTTAACAAGATCGATATCCGACATCTTCATTGACTCTACCTACGGAATTTATCTACCAATGCCACGCAATGCACCTTTTTATGCAATCCATGGCCATGCCTCATTCCACTCATCTCTCATCTCACTCATCAAAAGCCGCCTCCCCAAGATCGACCTTCCCCACACTCCAGATCTCTCGCTCATCATCCACTTCGTCATTCGACAGTCCCAAACCACCTTGTCCACCCTCTGCCTCCTTTCTCTCTCGTGCCGTGTTTCCAAGTCTCAATGCCACACGCTTGAAGTAATCTTGCATACTCCTCTTCTGATTCGCTGCAAGGTCCTGCGAAGAAATATACTTGTCAAATACCTTACTTTCCTCATCAACAACATCAAATAATGCCATGAAGGCAGCCTCAGCTGCCAGCTTCACAGGGATGACAGGATCTCGGACGCTTGCAAATACAGGAGGTGCAAGCAGTGAAAGATGAGGTCGCACGAGTTCCATGTGATGCCGACATGTAGTGCGAACAACCACGAGTGCCAGGCGTCGGGTATCGA